AGAGAGAGAGAGAGAGAGAGAGAGAGAGAGAGAGAGAGAGAGAATTTCACCTCTTGCCAAAGCTCAGCCTGCTGAACCCTCCTGCTTTCTGCTGGCTGTTGATTCAGCAGAAAGTACTGCTGCAGAATTCATAATGGTGATTTTTTTTTTAAAGGCCCCACGGATGGATCCCGTTGCTCGCCCCACGTGTCAGCCTCGTACGCTCGCCACGGAACATGATTCTCCAGATACCTTTTAAAAATTTCTGGCTAACGTACTTTCAAGGGGGAGAGGGCTCCCCCACTTTCGCAAAAGGGCCTTTACGGGGGCGGGGGGTTTGATTGTCTGAGCAGGTAAACCAGAGAGTCAGAGAGATGAATGGGCAAGAAATGATGCCTTGCCCTCACTGCAGCCACCAAAGAGCCTTAGCATTACCATACCCAGAGAGGGATAGACCAAGGTCTCACTGGGCCCCTCCCTGCTCCTTTCAGTCCAAGACTCTTGTAAGCGTCTTGGGGCAAGAAGGGGTCATCTGTTTCCTTGGGATCATCTGTCTGCCTGGGAGCCGCGCCCTGAAAAGCCTAATCCCTAAAGGCCATTTTAACTCCCAGGGGCTCCTGGTCCACCTGCTGCTGAACTGGGGCTCGAGTCACAGAGCCTGGATGGCTGTGCCATACCCCGAGGCAGTTCGGGTGTGAGCCTAGTCTGAGCCCCCGCCCCAGCCCCAGAGCCCCGAGAGTCTCCGCCACTAGGCGCCTGGCAGCTGGTGAAGCACAGCTATCCACAACTTGCACCCGACCCCAGCGGCGGAATGCGGTCGAGCTGGCATTACCTTCGGTCGCATAGCTGTGATCGCGCAGGAAACTGTTGTTGATTTTGCGGGTATCAATGTCCTCCTCCATTGACAGCAGGCTTACTTGCGTGGGAACCAGAAGCCGGCAGACAAGTATCCATGATCCCACCCCGCAGCCAGTCTCACAGGAGAGGGGGGCAGGGGAGCCAGTGGGACTGCACCATGGTCCGAGCCTGAGGAGGAGACGGGGAGGCGGAGAGAGAAGAAAATAAAAACCCGGCAATGGAGCTGTCACCTCCTCCACTCCGTTCTCCGAGGCTGCGGTGGCTCCTCCCGCACGGTGCGCTCACTTCAGCTCCAATTCCCAGCGAGGATGCTGTGCTTGCCTCCTCTGCCTCCGGGTACCAGGAAGCACTGTGTTCCCCACGAGGGGTCTGGTCCTGCCCAACCGCCCAGGAGGCGCTCCCAAGCGGGGCTGGGGAGATGCCCAACAGGTTCCTTTGGTAGGCAGCGGCTCCAAAATGCAAAAAAGGAGAGCCCTCCTCCCCTTGGGAGAGCGGGCAGCCGCGACAAAATGGTGCCTTTCCGGACCCACACTGCAGTGGCGAGATGGCAGGGGCAGGATTCAGGCTTGCCTTGCGGAGATGAGGGTGCTGGTCCCACGGGAGGGCGGCTCCCGCAGGCGGGGGCTAGGAAAGCTGGCGGGGAGCTAGGCTGGGCGCTGTGGCCAGCGCCAGCGCACTCACCCTCACACCCACAGGCGCGCACTCAGCAGCTGCTGCTGGTGGTGCTGCTGCTCCTGCTGCAGGAGGCTGGAGGCGGCTGGTGCATTAAAGGCGAGGCTCCTCCCAACCGCGTCAGCAGCCCCAGGACTCTTCCCCAGCAGCAGTGGGAGTCCAGGCAGAGGCTGCTGGCTGCTCTCTGTTGCAGAGGAGTGCAGGCAGCAGCCAAGGACACCTGGACAGCGCGAGTGTCTAGCTTGCAGGTTCACCGGGGAAAAAAAAAGGCGTGGACGCGCTATTCTAATCTCTTCCCTCTGGTGCCATGCAGCCAAGGGCGGCACAGGGCTTGTGTTCAGGAGTCCCTCAGCTGACTGCTTTGCTCCGGACACCTGCCTGCACTTCATTCAGGATAGCATTTAGAAGTAACTTCCTTTGGGTAGAAGTCCACATCTAGGTCCCTTTTGCTAACCGGATATGATGTAGACTGCCCCTTACTGAAGTTCAAGGGCGAGGCCTGGAGCTTCAAAGCTGGAGAAAGCTGGAAAAGGAGCTTATTCAAAGGTTAGCCCTCCATGCTAGGACTAGAGAGCAGAGCAGGGGCCAGAACTTTGAGGCCGCCATCATGCCCGATTCCTTTCCAAGTGCTCTAACGTCTAACTGTGAGACGCTGGTGTTCAGAAATGCATCAGTGTCTTCACAGGCAGAGAGACAGTCTACACAGCACAGGGCTGAGTTATGGGTCAATCTACTCAGTCTGAAGAAGTGCACTCTCCGTAGCCCTTTGTGTTTCTTTTGGACAGACACGGGAGCTTCTCTGTTCAGGTGTGCTTCTTCAGAATGCCTTCCGTGTGCCCTCAGCATAATAGGTCCGTGAACGCAGAACGGAGACTCGGGTCAAGGAAAGCCACTGCTATCCGGACAGAACTTAAAGGATCCAAGGGCACAGAAAGAGTCCCATCTTCTCACTTCAACTCAGAGCAAAGGCAGGATCCACTCCCAAGCCCGCATTTCCCCCAAATGGCAAATTCCACATTTGAAAGAAAATGAGATCGTTACTGTTATGAAACAAACAAAATAATTTAACAGAGCCATCCAAACATACTAGAAGAGCAATTTGGAAAAGAACTTCCCCCCTGCTTTCCTCATGAAGTAGTGTGCACTTCTATGGGAGAGACATCAGCAAATGTCTTGCTCAGTTAAGCTCCACGAGTTTAGCCAGATGGGCCCCGAGGGACCCGTGAGTTAATTATATACATACAATGAATGCTTGGGCTAACACAATTTAGAAAGTATTTGAAGTTAAAAAAAATGGAAAAACAAGTCCTTAACTGAGGTTGGGAATTGCCACTAGGTTTTTAAGAAAGAAAAAAAAAAAAAAAAAGATGTTTCTGGTGGGTGGAAAATGGTATTGTTTCTACATCCAGAAAGGAACTGTATCTCTTGAGGGTAGGGGGAGCAGAAATGTTTCCCTATGATTAGGAAGTGATAGGTGAGCTTCCAGTAGATTCTATTTTATTTTCAGGTGGTTGTTAAATCCTATACCCTTGATTGGCTATTTGTTCAAGAGCCACAGTGAAATTTAAGTAGCAGATGAGAATTGGTAACAAGTTGGTTCTATCTGCTTCAGCATGGGTTGTCTTGGTGGCATCTTCCATGTCGAGCTGGGAGCCTCACCAAAGCTGCAGGGTCCCATAGTCACACCTTTCTGCTTCTCTTGGAGATTGGCATAAGGCAAGGAAGGAACAGAAGGAAAAAGATGGGTTCGTCTCTCAGTGCATCGAGGTGCGGAGATGTCTCACCTTCATTTGAGATCGTCTTAGACTGTGACAGCAGAGTTTAGCATCTACGGGGAAAACCCCACCCCCTTGTCTCTTTAGAACAGTGCCAGGTAGGAATAGAGATACATGGTGGATCAAGTGGGGCCCAGGCTTATTGGCCAGACTGGGTGTGAGAAATTTTCCATAGTACCCCATGAGAAATGCAACCTTTCTCCAGCCTCTGAGTCTACTCAATTTTCCCTTTGGTATGTACTGCAATATTCTGCCGGCATTCAATTCACTCAACAATACAAAAGACAAAAGTCTTAAGAAGGCAAATGAGAAGGATTTCCATTTCCACCCATTATGTAGACTTCCAAGTTCTAAAAGACTGTTTCTAGTCACTGAGATCATACAATAGACCTCTACTATTTTTTGTTTCCACACTCATTTTGTTCTTTTCATGACATTTTATTTTCCAGTATTTGCTTATCATCACCACCACCATCATCATCATCATCATCATCATCACCATCATCATCAAATATTTTACCATGTCTCCAACATCAGGTGCCTGCCACTTAGCAGATGCTTGCTTATATTTATTGAATTATAATACATATTGATTATATAAGTAAATTATTGAATCTAGTTAGTGGTATTAAGTCTTTCATTCCTCTATCCATGATAAAAAATCATACAAAAACGATCTATTGTGAGCCTGCAGGTTTCTAGCTTACAACTCCTACTGCTATGGGGATAATTGTTCCCATTGAGTTCTACATGTATATATGCTAACAATTACTAAACATTTGATATGTGCTGGTATTGGTCTAAATATTGGGAATACAGACAATAAGAAACAATGTTTGTTTCTTCACAGAAGAGTGTGAGCTTTGAAATTGTACACATACTATAATCGAGCCAGTTGTGGTAGCTAGAATCAGAAGGATCATAAGTTCAAGGTCAGCGTGAGCTATGCCTTTCAAAAGGGACTGGAAAGATAGTTCTGCAGATAAAGGTGCCCACAGCCAAGCCTGATAATCTGAATTTGATTTCCAGGACCCACATAATAGAAGGAGAAAACTGACTCCTGCAAGTTGTCGTTTGACCTTCACATTTATACACACACACATACACACACACACACACACACACACACACACACACACACACACACACACACAATGTGATAAAAAGTTTAAATAGACAGGCCATAACATAACATCAAGTATCAAGCTGCAACATCAGGTAAAGCTTATTTTCATCTACCTATTATATTATTGTGTCCTCAAGCAGGTTACAAAGTCTCACTGGACCATAGATTTTCTTACCTATACTTTAGGGAGAAAAATGGCATCAATTTCATAAAACCACTGTGAAGATTAAATAAAATAATACCTGGAAAGAAAACACTGCTATTCCTTAGAGGTTTCATTTTATTTCACCATCATTACCCACCACTGATTTCCAACAAATGTGTGTGCCAGACACTGACACAGGATGGAGATTCCAAACCTCAGTTTGTGAGATGGTTAGCTGGTCTCTGTCATCATGGACCTTAGTGTCCAGTTTATAGTTTAAGTAGAGGGCCACAAGCTCCAAAGGGGGTTGTGGAGAGTACTCTGAATAGCTGACATAATTCAGCCTTGTGTCTACACAGAAAGAGCCAATTACAAATATATGCACTCTTATGTTACCCCATTCAGCATGGCAGCATGTGGGTACATTCATTTTTTTCTCACCCTTGTCCTTGGCCCACTCTCCAAATACAACTCTTCCTGCTTGCCTAGGTAGGCTAGTGCTTCTGACACATACCTTTGAGCTCAAACTAGGCAATTAGCACATTTTATTATTTTTATTTATTTTATTTTATTAAAACCCTTGATCCATTCCAGTCTAGAGTCCCAATGTAGTCTTCAGGTGACAGGCAGTCCGACTTCACAAGCCAGCTCAGGCATTTATGAATTCCTTGAGCTTTGACAAGTAATTTAACATCTTGGAGCCCCTGTTTACAAAGCAGTCACTTCACAGGGTTGTTGGGTGGCTTCAGAGACAATGTAGGGAAAGTGCTTGCTCCAGGCCTGGCCTAGAGCTAGATCTCTCCAAATGAATGATGGTTTTCTATCAGCAGAACTTTGTGGAGACCTCTGTCTGCAGAGAGCTACAGAGTCATACTACAAGTCAGTCTTCCATGTGAACACATGTGACTTAGAAACCTGAGTTTTATAACCTCTGGCTGTCTTAATGAACAACTAGAAACAATATAGATGATATTTTAACATCTTGCAAAAGACGCCTATAAGCTACGATGATGATACAAATGTGTGGAAAGAGGACTCTTCCTTCTTGGTGCTCACCATGGCTACAGATTTAGCCACCCTTCCTCAATGGAGAAATCCCATAGACTTCCTTTCCAGGAACTCTAGTTATCCAATGTTCACCCCACTCTCTGAGGTGGTTTATGTGCTGGCTGCCCAGAGACTGGCCACTTGAATTTCAAGCAAGTTTGCAATTCCTTCTTGTGCATGCTGTAGCATGTAAACCCATATGACCGATTCTTTCACATGGCATTTAACTTAGGAAAAAAAAATAAAGCCTGTTGTGGGATATTTGTACACTGTGTAAAGATATATTGCTGTGACTGGTTTAATAAGGAGTTGAATGGTCAATAGCTAGGCAGAAGATAGAGACATGACTTCCAGGGAGAGGAAGGAAGAGAAGAAGGAATCAAGGAGTGGGAGACATCAGGAGATATGGAGAGGAAACGGAGGTGCAAGATGGAAGAGAGGTAATGCCACATGATAGGGCATAGAGTTAATTTAAGTTATAAGAACTAGTTAGGAACAAGCCTAAGGGATAGGCTGAGCTTTTGTAATTAATAAGAAGTTTCCATGTTATTATTTGGGAGCTGACTGGTGGGAAAGAAAAAGACTTGTTACAAAAGCCTTTTGCCCTCCCAGTGATGTATATAGACTTTAGATTAGGGACTACTGTGGGCCAAGATGTGTAGGATGCACATCTCCGTCCAGTTGCGCTTTGAGTGACATTATGATGGCAACATAAAATCTGAAATAGGCTGTGAGAAGATAATTGTATCAAAGAAATAATAAGTTTCTTATAACAACTTTATAAATCAAGTTGTTACTTTTAAATGTGTTATTAAAGTTGTTATTGCTGCTGCTGCTGCTGCTGGTGGTGGCTGCGGCGGCAGTGGTGGCGGCACACACCTTTAATCCCAGCACTCTGGGAGGCAGAGGC